AGAACGAGAGTCCAAACAGCTGATAAAAACATCACAATAATCCACACCACTCCAGTCCATCAATTAACGTATTGTGAAAAGAAAAGCTGCGTGTTTACTTTATACTGTTGTTTTATTGACTAAATTACAAGTCCATAATATATAATGTTGCTATCTCCAGTAAAAATGTTCTCATCTGAATCAGGAGAGAAATATGCACAGATCAAGCACTGTTTACAAGCGAAAACGGTCCAGAACAGTTCAACTAATACAGGGGTGGATTTTGATGTGAGAGGACAACAGGGGACTTTTTCACTGGAGGAAGCATTATTATGGACTATGGATATTTTGGCCAGAAGTGATGGTTTACAGTTAAAAATGCCTTGATGAATTTGTTTCTTACAAACACGCAGCTTTTCACTTCACAAGATATTAATTGATGGAGTGGAGTAATGTGGATTACTTGTGGATTATAGTGATGTTTTTATCAGCTGTTTGGACTCTCATTCTGACGGCACCCATTCACTGCAGAAGGATCCACTGGTGAGCAAGTGATGTAATGCTCAATCTGAGGAATAAACAAACTCATCTACATCTGGGATGATTCAAGGGTGAGTAAACTGTCAGCAAATTTTCATTTTGGGGTGAAATATTCCTTTAAACACTTGTAACACATGCCTTACGGTCCTTCACATGTCAAATTAAATATGACATTTAAAATTGTTATATTGTGGTATTTTCCCCCTGCAGATTCTGACTATGTTTGAAGAGAACTATCCAGAGAGCCTAAAAAAGGTGCTTTTAATCAAAGGTGAGTAATTGTTGCACCAGTGAAATTGCATCAGCATAATATTGTTTGATAATAAACGGTTTTGAATTCTTTTAATGATAAAGTTCTTCTTTCTACAGCCCCTAAACTCTTCCCTATTGCATATAACTTGGTCAAACACTTCTTGCGTGAGGAAACAAGGCAGAAGATTGCTGTGCTGGGTTGTAAGTTGTCTCATTAGTGCTGTTTGTTAAGGCAAACATCACAATACTGTTGACTTTGGTGTGTAACTCATCCTGCGTGAATGACAGTTTCTCTTGTGATCTCCACCTTCCAGCCAACTGGAAAGAGGTGTTGAGGAACTATGTGGATGCAGATCAGTTACCTGCGGTTTATGGGGGATCCATGACTGATCCTGATGGAGACCCTCTCTGTAAGACCATGGTGAGGTTTACTAGTGAACAGGAGAATAACATACACTACCATTCTGGTTTGGGGTCAGTAAGATCACAGATGAAGTGCATCATGATTTCCACAAAAATATTATGCAGCACAACTGTTTTCCACATTGATAAGAAGATTTTTTTCTTGAGCAGCAAATCGGAATATTGGAACGATTTCTGAAGGATCATTTGACACTAAAGAGTGGAGTAATGATGCTAAAAATTCAGCTTTGCATCACAGAAATAAATTACATTTTGTAATAACATTTCACAATATTATTGTTTATACTGTATTTCTGATCAAATAAATGCAGCCTTGGTGAGTTCTCTTTCAAAAACATTTAAAAGTCTTACTGACCCCAAACTTTTGAACGGTAGTCTATTCAAAATACCAATATTTTGTTAGTTGCCTTTACTCATCTGACGTCTTCCTCTCAGTTACGTTATGGTGGTGTAGTGCCGAAGTCGTACTATGTGCGGGACTCTATCAAAGTGAAGTATGACCAGTGCATCACTATTAGCCGTGGCTCATCATACCAGCTAGATTATGAGGTGCTCTTTCCAAACTGCGTACTACAGTAAGTGCCATATGTTAAGTGCTAGTTGTTATGCATAGCAAAATAGCAAAATAGCATGCAATAATATTCCATATGTACACTACTATTGCATTTTTCTTTTGTGGTTAAACTAGTAATATTTCTTAATCTCTTAATCTAGATGGCAGTTTGCGAGTGAGGGGTCTGATATCGGTTTTGGACTTTTCCTGAAGACGAAAGGGAATGAGACAAAAAAAGTAGAAGCCATGCAGGCAATACTGCCTAGCGAACGTTACAATTCCCACCTAGTTCCAGAAGATGGATCCTACACCTGTGAGGAACCAGGCATCTGTACGTTTGTTTTGAGTTTGACATTTGAGTTTTTTTATGGAAGCTTGTTTCCACCATGGAATAAAACCAAGAGGTAACCGTGTCTTTTTATCTTACAATTCAGACTTTTTACTCTAAATTCAGAGAATTGCGAAAAATAAAGTCAGATTTGTGAGATAAAAAAAATCCCAATTCTGGAAAAAAAAGAGAAGAAATGTCTAACTTGTGAGATAAAAAGTTGCGATTATCTTTTTATTTCTTTATCCTGTAGGGGAAACAAGCTTCCATAGTTTTTGGTGCTATTCTAAATTTCATTGCTATTCTATTCTCAAATTTCACGATTCGATTCGATTCTCATTCACAAGCTTGCGATTCGATTACCGATTCGATTCTATTCGATTCGATATCGATTATTTTGAATATATATCAGGTACAGTACATGCCAAATTTTCTCAAGGAAAGAAAAATCTCTCAACTAATGCTGTAAAATATACATGAGCATCAGTTGGTACTACATTACAATAATATTGAAGGCTAAAATTGACTGATTTGTTAAAATTACGCTTAATGAAGTTTTAAAATATTAAAGTTACAATTACATAATAACATTTCTACTTCAATTAGTTTTTTTAAAATATAAACATAACGGTGGCTGTCATAAAAACTTGATGGATTTATTCAAACATAAATGAAACATTGAATAACAGTAAAATGTATAATGAATATGTTATATGGTGCATATATTAAGCAAAATGCCCCTCTCTACAGTTTCTTTTTCTAGCTGACTAATGAGTTTATGGTCACCGAATATGTTTTTCTAATATTTTCAAATTTTTCTAATAGGTAAATGTGAAGTTACGTGACATTGTTTACAAGACGTTATATTGACGTCTTTGCTTGGCTGAAACACTGATTGAGAGATTACACGAGACCGAATACGGCTTGTAAAGTTATACTCTTTCTTTTAACTTACCTTCGGATGCTTAGTCATGTTTATTTTGTGCTGAAACTGGTATTAATGTGGAGGAGATGATCAGTTCACATGCGCCTTGCGCTGCTTGATCTGAGGCGCTACAGCGATCTGTCACTCCACATTAAACCGTGCCAAAATAGCATTTATTGTTTGAATATTGCAATACAAGGGACATAATTTGAAATCTGAGACTTTGTTTCATAATAAAAGTACCGATGCACAATGCTTATCGTGATATATTGGATGGGAAGTGCCTTTCAATGTTCCATCCATTAACTGAAAACAGAATAGACTAATCGATTCTTGGAATTTAAGAATCGATATCGTTCCGTAAAAATGAGAATCGATTATTTTTTACCCAGCCCTATTATTTATGCTGATAACAATGTCTTATTCTCTGTAGATGTGGTCCAGTTTGACAACACTTACAGTGTGCTACATTCAAAGAAGGTCCGCTTCACTGTGGATGTGCTTCTACCTGAAGGACATACAGGAAAACAAGCATAAAACTCGACTGGAATCAGACTTTATATCATATATCCATTAGCATTAGATAAGATTACTCATGCCCTTACATCATGGATTTTGAGCACACTATGTTTAAACACGGGAAATCAAAACTACTAGATAAGTGTTTTTTTTGTGTGGTTTTTTTTTCAAAGTTTTTACATAATTATTCTCTCTCTAAGCAAATTACTATTAATAATTATGAAAAGTGGTTGTACGCAAGCAGTTCCTAAAGGGTGTTGTATGAACCATTTCCATGTATTTGTAAAAAAAAAAAAAAATTTGATCAGTAGATATTTTCCTTAATGTAAAATAATTGTGAATATAGACTACTGAGAATATCTCTCAATTAATATGACATTGAATCACAGCAATTACAACTTACTCATGTCAATGCATGCAATGGGTAAATCCTTCAGTAATAGCAAGATTATATTATTTCTTGTAATATTTAGTTGTAGAAAGCCACTTCTATAATTTTGAGAATGTTTTAAATGTGCACATAATTACGCACTAATCTGAGAATAAAATGCATTTAAGAAAGCACACACTGTTGATGTTTATTTGTAGCACTAGAGGACGCACGTGCATCACGAAATGCAGAGATGGTTAATAGACACAATGACATTGATTTTACACGCTTCCACAAACAACAAACCCAGTGATGTATTTTTTAAACAAACAAGCAAGCCCTGTCCAGATTTAAAAAGTAACGCAAAAGTAACGTAACGCATTACTTTCCATTAAAAGTAACTAAGTACCGTAATTAGTTACTTTTTTTTGGAGTAACGCAATATTGTAATGCATTACTTTTAAAAGTAACTTTCCCCAACACTGGTGATGTTATTACATTATGGCAGCTTATTGCAGTTTATTTATTTACTTTTAATTACTATTTAAACATAATGATATTATTTATTCTACTGGTTTTAATTTATATTGATGATAAAAAATGAATAAATAATCAATTATTTAAGTGCTATAGCAAAGGAATTGAGGTTGAAATGTGTTTTAATTGTCATCAAAGTCCTGCCAGAAATGATTATGATCTTTTTCAAAATAAAACTTATTCTATATACTTTCTTTCTTTTTTACCATTTAATTTTGTGATGAAATGCACCACTGTGTGGTGAAGGGTAGGGGACAAGGCTCGTGCTGTTACATAACAACTCCACGCGCTACAACACTGTGCCGCGAGCAAAAAAAATAAATGAAGACGGCAGAAAAATATATAGTTCATCGTTAAAATGTTAAATGCTTAAATGTATTTAAACTTATTACCACAATTTATCATAAATAACTACTACCTTGAGACGTTCATCTCTAAAGCCCTAACGTTATGTATTTTAAATAAGCATTACACATATGAAAGTTTCTTTAATTCAACATTGTTACTAATTATTTCCACTATATTGAAAGTGGGCGTTGCGCAATTTTGCATTATGCAGATGAGGGGGCGGGGTCCGCGCGTGGCAGCGATGACTTGACGTAATGTCCAACCTTGCGGAGAGAGCGCAACAAACATGGCGACAGAGCGGAGTGGACAGGGGTGTCTTCTAACTTTCATAGTGTTCCTCTGGAGCTCTGTCGGCGGGCGGACGGAGACGTCGAGCCCCGGCTCCAGCAGTCAGATCCTGGGCATGCGGCTGGAGAGGAGCGACAAAGCGGCCAGCACGACGGAGGACGGGCTCATCCAGGTAACGGAGGAGAGCAGCGTCCTGCTCAGGTTTTATGGGGTGCACCTGAGCCCAGACTCAGCATCCCACATCAGGTTCACGGAGTACGTGGATACGGAGGACAGCGACGCGTTAAACAGCACTTGTGAGGATTTCACCAAAGACCTGAGCATCAGCACCTTCATGAACGTGAGCAAAGTTCGAAGGCCCGAGCATGTGAATACGGGTGACAGTGACGAATTAAACAGGACTTGTGAGGATTTCACCAAAGACCTGAGCATCAGCACCTTCATGAACGTGAGCAACAGAGGAACATCAGGTCTGGTGAGTGTGTATGTGAAGCCACTGCGTAAGAGTGAACGAGAAAAGACCTACAGTCTATGTGTCAGGCAGGGTTTGGGAGACAGATGGGTCCAGCTGGGTGAAAATGATGGAAGATTGTTAGTTGTAGAGGAGAAAGAATCTCTTCTACCGCTTTGGCTCCAAATCATCCTGGTTTCAGGCTTGCTGGTGCTGTCTGGCATGTTCAGCGGACTCAACCTGGGGCTCATGGCGTTGGATCCAATGGAGCTTCGCATTGTGCAAAGCTGTGGAACTAATAAGGAAAAGAAGTATGCACGCAAAATCGAACCCATTCGAAGCAAGGGCAACTATCTGCTTTGCTCTTTATTGTTGGGTAATGTGCTGGTCAACACAACTTTGACGATCCTGCTAGATGATTTGATTGGGTCGGGGTTGGGAGCCGTGGTGGCATCTACTGTTGGCATTGTCATATTTGGTGAAATCGTGCCACAAGCGCTCTGCTCGCGCCACGGTTTGGCCGTAGGCGCCAACACCATCATGTTGACCAAGTTTTTCATGCTCCTGACCTTCCCCTTGTCGTTCCCCGTCAGTAAGCTTTTGGACTACATTCTCGGGCAGGAAATCGGCACCGTCTACAACCGCGAGAAGCTGGTGGAGATGCTGAAGGTCACCGAACCCTACAACGATCTGGTCAAGGAAGAGCTGAACATCATACAAGGTGCTCTGGAACTCAGAACCAAGACGGTTGAGGATGTGATGACGCCACTGAGCAACTGCTTCATGATTCACACCGACGCCGTGTTGGACTTCAACACCATGTCTGAGATCATGGAAAGCGGCTACACGCGGATACCCGTGTATGATGCCGAGCTCTCCAACATCGTGGACATCCTGTACGTCAAAGACCTGGCCTTCGTCGACCCCGACGACTGCACCACGCTTAAAACGGTCACCAAGTTCTACAACCACCCGGTGCATTTCGTCTTCCACGACACTAAGCTGGATGCCATGCTGGAGGAGTTTAAAAAAGGTTAGTGGTTGTGTTTTATGTGCATCCTCCTGAGTCTCCAGAATGTGCTGTGCTCACAGGAAGCAAAGGCTTTGGCTCCATGCAGTTGTTTTCATCCTCCTATTGATTATGATGGGTGCTCAGACTCCCCCTGAGAGCCGAATCAATAACCATATGCTCCCTGCATCAACCTCCGATCAAGG